AAATAGCAATGTCAACTTTTGTGTTTTTCATTCTTCCTAAAATGCATTTATGTTTAAAAATTGATGGGCGCACGGGGGGGAGGGTGCCAGAAGGTAGCCTTGCCTAGTATGCAGGCCTCTCATCTAGCACAGTGATGCTCTGCGTTCTTGGTTATTGGGGGGGCAAGAGTGGGAGGGCTTCTGGATTTCAGGCCCCGCTGGTGGACCTCAGGAGGGCCCCTGGTATTTTTGGCCGATGTGTGACACTGTGTGTTGAACTGGATGGGCCACCTGCCTGATCCAGCATGGCTTCTCTTATGTTCTTACGTCTGGCGCAGTGATGCTCTGCGTTCTTGGTGCTTGGGGAGGCAAGAGTGGGAGGGCTTCTGGATTTCAGGCCCCGCTGGTGGACCTCAGGAGGGCCCCTGGTATTTTTGGCCGATGTGTGACACAGTGTGTTGGACTGAATGGGCCACCTGCCTGATCCAGCATGGCTTCTCTTATGTTCTCATGTCTGGCGCAGTGATGCTCTGCGTTCTTGGTGCTTGAGGGTGTGGCCTCATGACACACTTCCGGTGATGTCAGGGGGTGTGGTCTTATGACACACTTCTGGTGATGTCAGGGGGTGTGGCATATGCTAATGAGTTATGCTAATGAGCTCCAGCAGCTCTTTTTCTACAAAAAGACCCCTGATTTATATTTTATTTAATTTAATTTATTACTGCAACCTACTAATTCCCGCTTTTCTTTTCCCTAAAAGTAAGTCTCTAGTCCTTTGGGTTATGGAGTTATTATTATTTTTTTAATCTATTTATTAGTTTTAAGACAAACACATAAGAAGACATATGTGTGTGTGTTTAAGCACTTTGCAATAATCAGATCAGGATTAATAAATTCATTATACATTCACAATAATCAAATCTGAATTAATAGGTTAGTTATAGCTTCACTACAATATTATATTGTCCTTATCAAATCTTATATCCCGTATTACAAGGCCTTACAAGTTATTCTGGATAGCAATTTTATAATCGATCAAACTCTTCTAGTATAATTACTATTTGCTACTAAACAATCTTCATACTAATATTCAATTCAAATACCTTTTATTGGCATACAATATTAAAAGCG